CCTCCCTACCATTTTGGGTCTGAATTCAAAATCTGAATTCAGGCCCTTTCTATCTCCACCCCATAATATTACTTCATAACTAAAATCATATCTCCCGATAATTTCGTTTTATTTTTATTTTTTTTATAATTTCATTTTATATATTTAATTATTTATTTTTTCTAATATATATATATATATATATATATATATATATATATATATATATATATATATATATATATATATATATATATATATATATATATATATATATATATATATATATATATATATATATATATATATATATATATATATATATATATATATATATATATATATATATATATATATATATAACATTTTTTTTAATTTTTGAAATTAATCTTACTTTGTTAATTTAAGAAAAAAGAAAAATATTGGCATAAGGCCCAATAGCCAAATTACATGGCCCATTACAAGTATTTTTTTTTCTTTAGAAAAAGTGATGTTTGCTTACACTAATTATTGTTATTATTGTAATTATTTTTTATTAACATTATTACATTAGAAGAAATATTTTCTGAAAAGTCAGCCTTATTTTGTTTAGGAATAAAAAGAAAGTCGTTATTTCAAAAAAACATGGGGCCTTGGCGGATTAAGGGCCCAATTTTGTTACAGTTAAAAAAAGTGCTTTATTTTTAACTTATTTTAATTATATTTTCTTGACATAACAAAACTTTTGTTTTTGTTAAAAAAGTTGGGCTCGAGGCCCAATCTACATAGTCATTACAAGACTAAAGCAGGTAACGAAAAAACAGCATTGGTCTAAGTATAGGTTGTTGTATGTTTTTAATTATTTTGTAAACAGGCGCGTGAGCCCGAGTATCGCTGGTCCAATTAACAAAAAAAAAAAAACAGTATGGCCCAAACTACAAACTATTACTGTTCAAATCAAAGGAAGAACACACACGTGTTCAAGTAGGAGAATGGAGAAGAACAAATACGATAACTTTATGACACAACCAAAAAATCAATTGCAGGGTCGTACATTCAAACAATGTTCTTGAATTACGAGACCAAAATTCGAAAAAACTTCCTAATCTAAATCCCTAATCAATTCTATTACAGACAAATAATTCATATTCATAAATCAGAACAACTACAAACCTTTAATCTGTTTCCTAAATTACATAACCAAGATCACTATAAAGCAAAAAGAATTGGAAGAGAAGAAGGGGCAGAGAAAAAAGAAGAAAGAAGTTATAGAGGTGAAGAGGAAGTAACCCACTACGAGCCTCTTTCCGGCGGCACCTTTCGCTGACTGCACGATGCCCAGTCGTGTTCCGATTACACCCTCCACTAGTCACCGACCCATTTGCGACTTCGACCCTCAACCATCGAATCAACCTTTACCGCACCTACGTGAACAACACGACGCCGCAGCTCCGCCCATCCTTCTTCCAGATCCACGACGTTGTTCTTCGACCATACGCTCTGCCACTGTTTTAGTCGGTAATACTTTTGTCTCAGATTTTTATATGACGCTTGAATCATTGTTATGTATCCTTGCAATTTTTGTTTTTGATTTGGGCCTGATTTGCTCAAAATTGAAAAGGGGTTTGTGTTGTTCTTCGAGAGAGAAAGAGAAAAGCATCGTGAAGGGTTTTACTGATGTTTAGATAGTTGTTTGGTTATATTATTTTTAATTTTGTTTTTTCTTCTTCTTTTAAATAGTTTAGAATTAAAATTTTATTAGATTGGGTTGGGCCTCTATGGTTATTCCTATTATCGCTCCTCTAATTCATTTAACACCTCCCTACCATTTTGGGTCTGAATTCAAAATTTGAATTCAGGCCCTTTCTATCTCTACCCCATAATATTACTTCATAACTAAAATCATATCTCCCGGTAATTTCGTTTTTTTTTTATAATTTCATTTTATGTATTTAGTTATTTCTTTTTTCTAATATATATATATATATATATATATATATATATATATATATATATATATATATATATATATATATATATATATATATATATATATATATATATATATATATATATATATATATATATATATATATATATATATATATATAATATAACATTATATATTTATACTTATATTTTGATTATAATATTACATATTATTTATTATTATAATTAAATTATTTTCGACTTAGTAAAATATATTGTTTATTTATATTAAAATCATACGCTTAAAAATAACTTTCGCAATATAATATTTTACATCAAAATATTAGAACCCACGATTCATTAAATTACGATATCCGCAAGAAACACGTGATCAATATCTGGTCACGTGATAAGGGGGGCTATATCAGACTCATCAACTATACGCTTAAAAATATTCAAACGATCATCAAACTATTCTTCGATAAATTAAATCAAACAATTAATTTTCAAAAGGAATACAAAGAGTTTTAAATTAACTTCGAGCTTAGTTCAAAATCTTCGCTATCCACACATTCGAACTAAGTGCGGAGAAAATTAAAATATCTGCGTAATCCATAAAAAACATCAACCAAACCGCGAACTACGAAATGAGACTTTGATTCCTTCTAAGAGGATATGTAGGCATGCGATTAAAAATTGTGGCGAGCCCCCTTCAAATCCTTTTCCCAAATAAGTAATTAAAACCCTATTTCCTAAGCATCGCGCTTCTAAACCTAGTATCCTTGTGAACAAGGTAGATAAGGGCTACGTAACACCTTTCCCTCGTCTAGAACCGAGTCTAAACCTATAATCTCTGAACTTTAAGGTTATTCCTTTATACTCTTTTTTTTTAGGATAAAAATTAAGAGTGACAACTCTATAATTTAAAACTAGTTGCAACAACTAGCTCAAACACTAAGTTATTATCATGCTTTCTTCAATTTCTTGATACCATCATATGCCCACTATGTTCTCCTGAATCAAAACCCTCACTCAATTGTATAAAACCACCAACAATCGCCATTTAATTTCACTTAGAAGGTTTAAGGTTTTTCTTTATACTTCAAAATTAATTGTTGTTGTTGTGTTTGAGAATTCGATTGTTAGTTTCAGATTTAGTGCATGAAACGAATATAATTGTATCATTTTTTTTATGTTTGCTTGAGTTTTGAATGAAGTGAATTCGACCATGGTAGGGTAGAAGAAGCGAGGAAGACGATAGATAAAGAGAGAAGGTTGAGAAGGATCATCATGTTTTCTCTCTCTTTCTATTTTATTTTATTTTATTTAATAATAATAATAATAATAATAAAATGTTACCTTGGACATGTGTCCCTCCTAACACCCTTGGATGTTTAGTCTAACCATTAACTTTGAATAACACCCAACACCCCCGTGATACCACGTGTAACCCCACTTGAAGTCAACATTGACTTTTTCTTTGGTCTTTCTTTATTGTTTGAGCTCCATATCGATGCTAATTGCAATTCACTTTTAATTCAACACCACCACTTCTATTTCTATTTTCATTTTCTATTTTTTTAGTTAGTAAAAATTGATTAATTAATATTATTTCAATTGGTTGATTTTGTTAATTACACTTAATTATCTTAATTAATCAAACAAATTAATTTTCTAATTGATTAATTTCGATAATTAATTTTAATTAGCCTAATTAATTAATATAGTCCATTTTAATTAATTAATTAATTAGTCTACTTAACTATTACCCACTTGTTTAATTGTTATTTGCTTTATTTTATTCTCATGTGACAAGTATATCCCCATCCCTTGATTGTGATCAAAACACAATAATTAAGCGAGTTTAGTTTAACTTCACAAATGATAAACGAGGGAGTTGGACGTGTGTCATACATTTCTCACGAGTATTCGAATACTAGCCGTATAGCTTGGCCATTTGATACTTACCCATTGTTAAGGAGTCATATGACTAAACTCGTCTCACTCTTTTCAATAAATGGATTAAACAGACGAGATGAGCATATGTCCTACCTTTTCCTAAGTGTTTGAATACTAGCCGTATAACTTGGATATTTGACACTCGTATCCCTTAAAATAAATTTCAACTCGTTCAAACCTTTTGCCTTTTGGCTTTCATGTTCAAAACCTTTTCATAAAACGAAAGACGCTTCGTCTATTTTGCGAGGATGCAAACAACCTTTTCACATGTGAATATCAAACATTTTTCATTCAAATGTGATGATGGCATAAATCCGTGCTGATCCAGATTAAGTCATCCATTCTTGAAGTGACACAAATGTTTAAATATCCATGTTTTGGGCAACAATAATTTTCGTTCGAATGCAACTTGAGAACCTTTCGTTAAAATCAACCAACACACAAACATTTGCTACCCAGAATTACATAGTTTTGAGTTCTCCATTGCACCTGGAGATATGTATGAGCAGTATTTTGAAAATTTATCAAACGCAATAATAAAAAACCCTAAAAATCATTTCTTTCTCTTTTCTCACAATAAGTAGAAGATCACGAGTAACATCACACAAACATTTATTCACAAAATTAACTAAATAGTTCTCATTGAGTACAACAATGTGAGAGGTACTAATACTTCTCATTTGCATAACCGACTCACAAACCTGATTTTGATTGCGACGACCAATTTTCTCTTCTTTCATAAAATTTATCGATATTTTTCAATTTCTTTAAAATAAATAAAATTTGACGATGACTTTGTTGTATTTCAAATATTCTTACGATCAAATATTTTTCGTGCCGCAAGAGCTAATGACTCCACTAAATAGCTATTTTCTAAGACGAGTCCACCCTAATTTAATTAACCTTGCGACTAATTGTTAACTTTGTTTACCTGCTTTTTTCTTTGTGATTCCTAATGCACAAAATCCATTTCTACTTTCTAGAAGAAGGGCCCACCAATCAAACCAACGCAACCCAAATTGAGAAGCGGGAAAACACATCAAATAATTCCCGCTCCTAAACCATTCATTCTCTCTCAACAGTTCACATACTCTCTCTCTCCACCACTTCACTCTCACACTTGTAGAGAGAGAAACAAACACCGTAGATCTGAAATGGCGACGCCGGAATCAAACCTCGATCCAAACCCCTTCCTCCAAGAACAATCATGGCACCTCCTATCAATCCTCCTCCAGATCGGTCACCCAGTCGATGCAGACTATTTATCTTCCCGTTGCCGCTTCTTCAATGCTTCTTCCGATTTCGTCCGTTACGTAGCATCTCTCCCTGATTCACCTCTCGCCGTTAACAGTAACGGTCTCCTTACTCCATCCATTAAAGCTGTTTTCGCCATCGCCAGGTTTTTCTCGTTTCAAGTCCTTAATTCAGCTCCGTCTTACTCGCGAAAACGTAAATCGGTTTTATCACTCCCCGAAGGTACACTGTTTTTCTGATTTTGTTATTGAATTGTTTGTTTAGCTTTTTTTTTTTTTTTTGATTTTGTGTGTGTTTTGGAGGTTTGTTGATTTGAGATTTTGTTGAAAACAGATGGAAGAGATCCGAAACGACTTGCAATTGGCGACAAAGTTCCGGAAATTTTCATCAAGGTATTCATATTTTTAACTGTTTCGAGGTTAATAATTTGTGCGTCGCTAAACCCTAAACCCTAAGTGAAATCACACTGTTTTTGGTATTAATTTGAACTATTATGAACTTGGTTTTGTTCTAGTTTTTTTTTGTTGATAATTTTAGGGTTTAGGTATATATATATATATATTGTGCATTAAGCGCATAGAATTATAGGATTTTGGTTTTAATTTTGAATGTTATTGAACTTGATTGAAGAATTTCAAGTAGCTGATAAAGTGACCTTAATTTTAAAGAATCGTAAGCCATTTAATATAATGTGTTGTCAAGTAACTACTATAGTAGCACTAGCAAAATCTGAACAAATCACTATTTTTTGGGATCTCTGATTGACAATTCTGCCTGATTGGCTTGTGTACCTTTGGTATTTGACACTAACAGTGACTTTGAAGTTTACTTGTTTTAGCATGATTATATATTTTGTTGGCATCTAGAATAATGGAAAAAAACAAAGAAAAAGCAGTTATATAGTTGGACTGATCACTTATTGTTTATATCGATTTCTTATAGTAGTATATAATTTTATTGGTCATTTTTTGTATTTTGTGCTGAATTTGATGTTTGATGTCAAGTTTTGGATATTTTGTTTCTTTGCAGAGTTTTGTTGATACTTCTGCAGAGGCTATGATGAGAAGAAGCTTCTGTACAATGAAATTTGAGTATCGGGTTATGCATGATGGGAATTATATGATTCCTATATGTATTGATACAGTTGGGGAGTGTTTGGGTTGGTCAGAACCAAATTTTGAATACAAGGAAGCAGATAATAATGCCACAACGAACACAGCCCAAGGAGTGATTTCTGACTCTCTGATCAAAACCAGTGAGTGTTTTTTCGTCAGTGATAGTGGTTTGAAGAAGCTTGAGGATTTAGATAGACTCCCGGAGCATAATCCTGTTGCGATTCTTGCTCTACCGCCTAGTGTCCATGATCAATCACTCTGTAATGAGGGCATTGTCGTCGGTACTGAGTCAGGGAAGAAAGTGGATTGCTTTGACACATTTGGGAATGAGTATCCTGAACTAAACATAACCCATTACGTGGACGATGTTGATGTTTGTAGAAATAATACTGGCAAAGATCCACAAAGTGATTCTAATGAAAAAAATAAAGAATATGAAAAAGGTTTAAAGGAAGAAGTGATTAATTATGACAAAGATAGAGGAAAGGAAGATGTTGCTCAGAGTTGTAAACCTGTTTGTGAAGAACAACCAACCAAAGTTTTGGAATTTAAAAAGGGTACACTTGTAAAAGATTTGGATAAAAACAAGAGAGTGAGAAACATGGTGACCCGCTCCACCAATAAAGCTGCACATGCAAATCCAAAGCCAGTTTCGAAAACTTCTCGCATATCTAAGGGAGGACTGAAATATGATCCACACTCAATGACTCAAATTCTTGTAGAGTCACTAGCCTGTCACAAACTCGAGGATGCTCCAAAAGTAATTGATCAATGTAAAGATGATCAGAACACTGTAGCAAAAAACAAACTAAAACAAAATCGTAAAGAAAACTTGGCAGAAGATAACTCCATGGCTTCTAAGGTGAGGGCTTTCAGTTAAGAGATTTGATTTGATATAAATTATGAAGTTCTCTAAACCGTTTTGACTATCTGCTTCCTATTTATTATTCATGTGATGTTATCTATTTTGGTTACTTTGTTGAATCAGGTGGAGAAAAAAACATTTCCATCTTTTGAATCTTTTAAAATAGAGGAAGAAGAAGGTTCAGGTATTATTAGGACTCTGTTTCTCATCAACTTCCAAACTGATAAAACAAATCTATATTAAAATTGCACTGATATTTCTTTAGGTGGTTATGGCATTGTTTACCGTGCTCAAAGAACTTTTGATGGAAAAAGACTTGCTATAAAATGTAAGTACACCTATCTTTTATATCAAATGTGTGTACTGTTCATGAAGTGTTGTGCTAAGAAAATGGAAAAGAATATGAAGCACCGCCACAAACATGACACTAACACAAACACCTTGACACCAGATTCTTTAAAAAAAATTTATGAATCAATTGAACATAATCTCAAGTGTTAGTGTCGTGTCATACACCTCAAAAGTGTATCTGCTACATGGGTCCCTTATTTGTAGCCTACTGGAAAGCTAAACTATTTATGTGTCACCAAGAATCCAATGTTACTTGTAACCCGTTTCCAACTTACAATTTTAAAATGGAAGCAATTTTTCGTGTGTAATCATTCTTATATTACTAATTTCATACATCAACAGTGTAATTGATTATTAAAAATACTGATATTGATGCTACAATTTCTACATATAATTTTACAGGCCCTCATAGTAATGCTCATAAAAATCATGTAAATAATGAGCGGAATATGCTTGAGCGTTTTGGGTAAGTATTTGGCATGCTCCTATATTTTTTTATATTTAAGCTATGATGCATGCTGCTATTGTCCTTAAATTTATCATGTTTCAGGGGTAAAAACTTTATTATAAAGTTTGAAGGTTCTTTCAAAAGTGGCAACAATGACTGCTTTGTTTTAGAACATGTTGAGCATGAGAGACCTGAGGTAATTGTTGAAATTGTCTGTAATTTATATTTTACTTTATGAGAAAAGATAATTGTTTTTGGTTTTAGAGCTTTCGATATTTTGATTTAATCAATGAATCAAGTTCATGAGATGTATTTCTCTATCAGCTTCTTTCAATATTAAGCTGATTTGCTCATAAGACCCCATCTCTCTCTGAACTTCATCTTTGATGGAGCTAATTTTAGCTTCTCAATTTAGGTTCTAGAAAAAAGAAATTGATTTTTCTGTGAAATGGATTTACCTCTTAACCATTATTGATTTTTGTAATGAAAATACTACAATGTGCAGGTTTTGAAAAGAGAAATTGATATCAATGAGCTTCAGTGGTACGCGTATTGCATGTTCAAGGCACTTGCGTGCTTGCACAGAGAGGTAATTTTCCCTCTTGCTTATTCTTTGCGACTTTGACTTATTGTTTAAAAGTCCAATCTCAATTAATGTAGGGAGTTGTCCATAGAGATGTCAAACCTGGAAACTTCCTTTTCTCTCGAAAGCTAAAGAAAGGCTATCTTATTGACTTCAACCTTGCCATGGTTAGGCTGCTTCACTTGCTGTTGCTTCTTACATAAGTTTTGACTGATTATTTCCAAATATAATCTGGTGACTTGTGGTATATTTTTCAGGATTTAAAGCAGAAGTACAACTTTGGAAGTAAGCCTTATAATTCCGACCTATTTGGCTATTCAGTTGTATATTAATCTGTCAATAAAAAAAGTTGTATATTAATCTCAAGCAATAAGCCCACATAAACACATTTTTCTTGCTTTTTTTACATGCATCATATTAATTTCCTTCAATTAATCCTTAGTTCACTTTGCTATGTTTTATGTAAAGTGATCATCTTAAATTCATTATATAATTTGCCTAGTTTCCTCAACTAATCTGTCCATCTGGTCAGGTAAATCAAAACCAAGTCTTGGTGCATCCAATAATATTCCCCTCCCTTCTGGTCCTTCCCATGTGGTCCAAGACAAGAATCTTGGAGGAATCAAGTCTCTAACATCCAATAGAAGGGAGTTGGCAGATCACAAGAAATATTCTGACATTAATAGGCACTTGAAGCCCAAGGCTAATGCTAGTCAACTGAAAAATTGTCCGGATAAGGCTGTTGCGAGTTTACGAAGAGCACAAGGAGCAGATGGCTCAGGTATAACCTCTGCCAAAGATGTTACTAGCACTAAGACAGCTTCTGCCGATAGGCTTCGAGAACCCTTACCTTTCCGAGGAAGAAAGGAGCTTATCAGCCTTGTGCAGAATTCTATGCAATGTGCAACTGGTAGTTCAATGAAGAGTCCTTCTTCTCAGAGGAAAAGGGTTACTGCTCCTTCCGGCAAGGTAGATGGCAGGACACTTTATCTTACGCCGATGCCTATACATTCATCTACTGTTGCTTTGGGGTTATTAAGAAGCAAAGGTCTGATTCTAAATTCGATGCTTCTAAGTTGTTACCTTTAACAGTGTAACTTACTAACTTATAATGTGTTATTCAGGGGATGGAAAACATAAAAGAGAGGGTCCATGTGTTGGAACTAAGGGATTCCGTGCCCCAGAGGTAAGGTCTTACTGTCATTTCTATTCACTTGCAATGTTCACTCAATTATAGGTACTACATTTTGTTGACCCAAATACTATCTGTAGATTCAATACTGAATACTGACTGAGATTTAGGAAGTGTCACTTGTAGACACTTTAAAGAACATGTAACATATTAGCCGCTGGAATTTTACACTGCTGAGTAAAGGACTACCTTACCAAAAAATGAAACAATGTTAAAATATCGGGATAATGTGTTTCCGTTTACCTATATTTCTATGATTCAATACAAACATATAATAAGAGACAGTTTTGTGCTTGACTGGTGGGACTTCACTTAACTATGAGAGTTTGAGTTTCACAAGATGCCCTTTCCTATCAAACAAAACATGTACAGTCAACTAGATATCCATGATTAATCATTCCACATACTTGACCTGCTTCATTGCTTCTACCTTTTTTGAGCGTATATTTTCAAAGTTCAAATAGACCTTCACCTTGGGTGGGAAAGAAAGGGAACATTTATTGTCTGATCAAATATTAAACTCACTGGTCTTATATAACAGTACTCACGATTTGAAGATGTCATCATAAAAGCTAAAACAGGGATCTATAAAGTATTTCCATTTCATATTCATTTTAAATTTTGAAATATCCTAAATGCTATAAGGAAGTATAGTTTTGAAAAATTGGTCTTTAGCGGCTTCCTTTATTGCCAGTAAAAGAAAAACACTGCTTGATATCATATCTTCAAAATGCATCACTTTTAGTTTATTACACAGAAGCAGGTTCACCTTCCTACAACTAATGGATGATTTTATTTTCAATAATTTAATTCACAATTTGCTTTTTCTTTAGGTTTTGTTCAGGTCTCAGTTTCAGGGAACAAAGGTTGATATTTGGTCGGCTGGAGTCACTCTACTATACCTGCTGATCGGGAAAACTTCTTTCCCTGGCGAACCAGAACAGTAAAAATCAACTACAGATTCATTTTTGATTTTATCTTTCTTTACTTTCTGTGCTCATTATGTTTTTCTACAGGAGTTTAAAAGAAATTGCCAAATTGCGGGGCAGTGAAGAGCTTTGGGAAGTGGCCAAGCTGCATGACCGCGAAGCATCATTTCCACTGGTAAATTCCTTATTGTTTGGCAACTCAGTGGCCATTCGCCCATTCCTATTAATCCTTATTTCTGAACAAGGTAAATGAAGCAAAATGGTTAATAATGTCTGCCTTCATTGGATCACAGGAGTTATTTGATGACCAATACTTGCAATCATATGACATAGAAAGTTGGTGCAAGACTCACACAAAGAGACCCGAGTTTGTTGATCAAGTTCCAAAATCACTGTTTGATTTAATAGACAAGTGCCTAACAGTAAACCCAAGGAGTAGGATTAGCGTTGAAGAAGTTTTAAGGCATGAGTATTTTGCCCAATGTAATGATATCATGAGAAAGACAAGGATCCTTCGGCGAGGTCTCGGCTTAGAAACTTCAACTTCCAGAGCAGCAGTCTGAGACCAGTTTCATGAATTGTAGGTGATTAATTAGGTATTACATTACTGTTTGACCTGAAGTGGGTTGACAAAAAAGTCTTTCCATACATTGATTGCTGTATATATGACTCTTTAAATGTGGTTGATTTAGAACTCCAACCTTTTTTAAGGCGAACTTACAGACCAGCAAAAGCTGTGAAGCCAACTAGTTGCAACTTCTCTAGTTTACCATCCCCACCCATCGCAAACCTAAACATTGAGTAGAACTGAATGTATGCAGGTATGTGAATGACTCTGGCACAAAAAATTAACAAGAGACTGAAAGTTAGGGTTCCCACCCACCCTCTTTACAAATTCTTCAACAATGCACTTAAACAATTTCCACCCTCTTTTTCCTTCATTATAGGATCAAACTAAAAGATGAAAAGACTTGTAGGACGGGTAAATAATTAACCTGTTACATTTCATTTAGGTTGAAAACTTGAAAATCAATGTATGTGTTGTTTGGTTGCATGGCAGTCGTTCATTCCTCATTCTTCATTTAAACTTTTTAAACCTCTAAATAGGTGTGCATCTTTAATTAAATCATGTGAACCAAACCACTATATTGGTTCTAATGTATAAACCATACCATTTAACACGGAAACCGGTTTGAGAATAAACGGTTCCAAATCCCTTCAGATACGGTTTCAATTCAAATATCAATTTTAACAGCAGTAAGAAATGCAAGAGAAATAAGTATGCAAGAGAAATAAGTATTTCAATTTTAACCGCAGTAAGAAATGCAAGAGAAACAAAACGTTAAATTTTCAATATTTCAAATTGTCAAAGTTTTTTTTTTTTTTTTTTATAAAATTAAAGAATTTGTGTAGCAGTCATTGCACTCAACATTTGGTAGTGTTTTTTTCCTGCCTTTTAGTATGTTTTTGTTTCAACTTTCAAGGTGTTTTACTAAAAAAAACAGCAATATTCAGAATCTAACATATAGATAGAGGTTGGGTGATTTTACATAAATGATGTGGTCAACAATATTAATGGACGCGTTGAACATGAGAGGGATAGGCGACAATCAGCCAACATCCAAACATATTGCACTAAGTATCCAAACACCTCAGCTACACCTTCACAAATTGCATTGAGGGTCATTACTTTATCTACTCTATGAGGTTGGGGGGAACACATTGAAATTTGAATGACTTTTTTATATTCTGGAGACATATTTTGAACGCACCTAAAATGCACACATTGTTTTATAAGCGAGTCATTCAATCATATTTGTCAAAAAATGGTCTGAAGATTTTATATAGATAGGCTATCTCGGTAATATTTTACGGGTGATTTTGTTAATGTATATCTAGAATAACATTTAAAAGCATTTGAGAGTTTTTGCCTTGATAACAAATTTCCTAAATTGATTTTTTTAGGCCATTTACATTAAGGATATATTATACTAATGTAATTCAAGAATATCATATATAAATTCAAACAATAATACAAATTCAAACATTAATCAATTAATCGAAACAATGCTAATATATATAATTTGTTTAGAAAATAGTATTGTTACCAAAATACAAATAAAAATAAACTATTGTGTGTAACTCCCCTGTTTCACCTATGTGTTATGTAATGCAAGGAATTTTGTGCCTCGAGTTAGATGGTCTATACGACGACCGTACTAGAATTGCATTCCTCAAAATCTCCTTTCTCTATGGTATCTCTCACAATCGTCCCAATACGTTGACATATTGACAACAAGTCCTAGGCGTGGTCATCCATAACCTGCTCCTTTTTCAATATCTCCCGATGAATTGGTCTAGGTGGTGATCATGCGATATTTGATATCATGTAAGAATGTGAACTCGATAGAACCGTTGGATGCAGCCTTGTGCAACAGCCCATGGACTAGGGGATGGAACACTGCGTGCATTATCTGATGCCAAATGATTATAAAAATTATCGAGTATGACATCAAAATCTCTGCAGTGGATTGTCGAAGGAGCAGACACAGAAAGAGGTCCTAGAATAATTTGAAGAAACCCAAACTGACGCATGACCCGCTTAAGAAGATGTGGATACATCAGACGTGACCCACAAACCATCCATCTAGAGTAGTGGACTATGTCTTCCAAGGGACAGGTCTGACGGTGATCGTTGTACAGACAAAAACATATGACATCTGCTATAGTGCGTTCGATAAACACATGGAATTAGAATATATAGATGACATGAGACATCATCAAGAGTGGTGAACATCTCATTATGAAGGACGTGGAAAGACGACGTCCCATTATGCCATCTCTCCATAAAATCCGCCAATATTCATGGTTAATGGTTTTGTATCCAATGACGCATAAACTCACCAGCCGAGAGTAACAAACTACATCTTGAAACCACACACTTCATTCTGTTCCAGGTTCAAAATCTTCTTGGCATGATTTATATATTTTATCGTTTCGTACTTCTGTAAAAATAAATATATCAACATCAGTCATAACTCAATTAGTATGAAACAATGTAATATAATAGTAAATAAATACACCTCTCATTCCTACACATGCCTAGCATCATGTTCTGTATAGAGAGGAAGTAAGGAGGTGTCTGTAACATCTAATTTCTACCCAACAAATTATATAAAATTAGAGTTACAAAATTTTCAACAAACAAATGAAATGCTACACTTTCAACTTGGAAACAACGACATTCAATCACCTATAGTTCAGATACATAACACATAAAATTTGGATGAACTGATAACAACCTGTTTAGTCTTTAAAAATAAAACAACTTTCATTGCTACGCAGCTGATTCACAAATTCAACTGAAAACACCATAACATCTTGTCCAACTCAAAACGGCTTTAAGACAACAAGTCTTTAATGAAAACAACTTAAAAATTCAGCAACATAATGAAAACTATAATAAATAAAACATGCGTTCATCCCTCTGAGTGCTACGTATCAGAGCGACAACACCGACTCGAACTAACGAAGGTAACAACTATCCTTCTTGATTACCTGCACATTACCAATAGAGAGCAACATTCAAACATAAGGAGTGAGATATCAAACCATATAATTGAGTGTATGATAAATAATTTATTAGATTAAATTATATAAAATCACCACTTCAAAACTTTCAACCAACATCAATCATCACAAGTCAACAACACAACATGTTAAATATGCAATACGAAATGCGACTCGTTATAATACACATGTATGTGTGTTGTACCCCAAAATTTGCCCTCCTCTTTTTCACAAGAAATCACAGCTTCAGGGTTTTCCCTGATTTTTCAGATTGGCTCAAGAATCGGTCAAACAGATTTTTCTTTATCTGTCAAACAAAATTAGGGTTTCCATTGATTTTTGAATCAGTCAAACAAAATTAGGGTTTCCATTGATTTTGAATCAGTCAAACAGATTATTAGGGTTTCTATTGATTTAGTTGAGTTTGGCTCAGGGTTTGATCAAGCAGACGTTTCTTTGACAGTAAATCCAAAATTAGGGTTTGCACACACATTCTCAGAAGAATTTGGATCCACAGTATTTTAATTGATTGTCACATTGTTTTGATGCTTGTTCAAGATTGATGTTTGTTTCTCAAAGCCTAAACATCTGGGATAGAAGCTGAGGCTTCTGATTGAAAGTTTGAAGCGTTGGTTTGATCAGTGAAGTGAAAGGCGTATGGACGTTTGTTTGTTTAACTGTGCAATGCATATGGTTAACTGGAATGTCGGGCGTATGGTGGTTAATGCAAGGTTGCGAGACTGCAACGTTTGTTGATTATTTATTTTATCTGAGTTACAATTATTGGGATGCATTTCCAATTATTTTAATTCAAGAAATTTAAATTATTAAATAGACAGTGCAAAAGAGATGAGAAATATCTGACAAAGATTTTTTATTTATTTTTAATTGTTGTTACAAATGTTATTTGAATACTGTAAATTTATTTACAATATTTACAATGATATTTATTACAAATAATTGAAAAGAAAATAAATCTATTCTAAGTCTTTTGAAGTCTTCATCTTCTACTGCTGCTTCCCTTACCCCAACTGGTATTTACCTGCAAAGATAAAAAGAAAGAAGTCAGTACAATTAAATTAAAAATCAGTTTTGAACAGATAAATAAAAAAATTCATCATTAAAGATTGTTGGCTGGAATCATATCGTTTTGGTTTCATCATGTTTTACTCATCCTCTTTGCAAATCACAAGATTTCTCTTTTTGATTCACAAAGAGGAAAAGTAAAATTAATTTTTGCAAGCATATAAAAAGAAGGCACAAGGCTGCATACAAAGTACACAAAGCTGAACAAGTTCAAACTGAACAACCAAATTGCAATGTCAAACAAAGCAAACTAAGTTACACAGACTGTCAACCAAATTGCAATGTCAAACTGAGCAAACCAAATTGTAATGTCAAACAAAGCAAACCAAGTTGCATAAAAGCAAACCAAGATGTCAAGAAACTGTCACACAAGCTGTCAACCAAGCTAATAAAAACAGAAAAGCTGCATACAAGTACACAAAACTGTCAAGGCAGGAAATATGGAAGTACATTACAGAGGAAAACCAAGATGCAAGCAAGCAAGCTTGTAAAAGCGACTTTTCATCATTTCCCTGGCCAACAATCTTTTCAGAAATATAAAAGTATTTTAAGCAATTAAATATGCTTTTTTGATGGAGAGAGAAAGAGAGAGTGAAGCATGTTTGCAGTGTTTGGCAGGCTTAAAGAATAAATAAATATAACATTCCTAACAGTTCAAAAGAGAGCAGTTCAGAAGAAATAAAAAACAGAACCAAAGAACCAAAAACTGTAACTGCACAATCCAAACCTGCCTGCATAAAAGCTTTCAAAACCAGAAGCACAAACAAGCAGAAAATCAAAACCTACAGAAACTTGTAACCTGCAGAAAACCACAAGTAAAACTGCCTGACTGTAACAAACAGGAAGCACAACAAGCCTGCTTCCTCCAAGCTTGCATAACTTCAAGCCTGTCTAAAAAACTACACAA